GCTGAAGAAACTGCAAGGAGGCTAGAAGCCAGGGAGAGAAAGCCGGGCATTGCTATGTGATGTCATTACCTGGACGGTTGGACATTTAGCATAGTAGCTATATATATATATATATATATATATATATATATATATATATATATATATATATATATTTATTTAAAAAAATAAAACCTGGCCTCAGTTCTTATCTAGGTTCTTCTCATAATCCAAGCTGCTCAAATGACTTCACCCAAAAGTTTTATCATATTTGGGCCTGTAAATAGGACCAGAAAGATGAGAAGGTGGTATCTGGGCTCATGCCCATAAGAGTGAAAAACTTATTTACTAAATTTGCTGAGGGGTCTAGAAAATTGAGAAAGAGTTTGAGGGTTTGTAGGGGAAGACACACTGCCTTTGTCCCATGGCATGCTCTTTGCAGCTCCTGAGAGCAGCCCTAGATCCCTGCCCCCTGACCTGTGGGTTGGGGCTGCACACCAAATATTCTTGTTTTTGGCTTGTCCTGTGAAAGTCACTCTCCTCTGGATCATGGCAACAGCTGGCAATGGGCATGTTTCGAGAAGAAGCTGCCTGGGGTTATACACTCAAGGCCAAAGTTGGATTGGACAAGGTGTTTTTCTTTTATTCTGTGTTAAATTGAATTTGAATGCCTTAAGACACTATAAACAAGATGTCCCCAAAAATGTATACACACTTTGAATATAACTATAAAGGTAGTGCTTATTAAAATACATTTCCTTTTTATGTAACAGCTATCAGCTGTTAAGGCATGTGCAACATGTTTATACATGTTTTTGGGACACCCCATATATACAGGCATGGGCAAAGTAGGTTTACAGTTGTGAGTACTCAAAACACAGTTTATTCTTACGTTATTGTTTATTTATGAATTATTGTATTATTTACTATTATTACCTACTTTCGCCCACCCCTGAATCTACTATGTCCTCTGCAGTGGACCAGAAAGGCTACCACTTCCTTTTGTTTTATACTCAAATGATGCACATGTTTAAATAGTTCCTGCCGGGTTCCTGGACAGCAGGCATGTTAAACTCATGGCCCACGGACCACATGCAGCCCACAGCGAATATTTTTGCCAATATAACGGTACATAAGAAACATTTTAATAAAAATTTTATAACTTAATTTTTAAAATATCCTGTTATATATAATTATTAATAACTAATTACAATGTTCACTAATGACTGATTACTATAATCGTGTTGTATTCATTTTTCTTATGCACCTTACACATGCAGGCGCAGTGTTTCTCTCCACTAATACTAGCAGCGAATATTTTTGTAGCTGATTGACACATCATTAGTCTTGTTTGGTATGCGCAACAGGAAATACTTCAGAGAACAAGAAAAATATATTTATTTGCATTATGCTTACTAATTTTGCAGTTATTCAGTGTCTGGTGAGTTAATGTTCAAGAAAAATATTAATTTTTATTAAAATGTTTTATAATTTTATGTTAATGATTACTCATTTATTTCAGCCCTTTGTATTCAGCATGTCTCTATAGAAATAAACTATGTTTCTATGAAAATTGAAGCTTTTGTGTTTTTTTGCAGCCCACATAAACCTTTATTTGGCCCGTGTTAGCCTTTGAGTTTGACATGCTTGCTGTTGGCATTTAACAACCTTTCCCTCCCTACTATCTCCAACCCCCCAACACACACACACACACACACACACACACACACACACACACGGACACACACACACACTCTTAAATGGATTAGCTTCAGATTTTCAGCTGGGTCCTTGAGGGGACAGGACAGAGTGAGACAATCCCACTCAGATGACGGTGGCATAAGGAAGGCAGGCTCCCGGAGCCTCCCAGAGCCTCCACCCAGTCCCCTGCCTCCGAGATCCCAGCAGCCCATGATGGTGAGAGAGGGTCTCCATCTCAGGCCACATAGCCACCACCCAGTAGCACTCTCCAAGACTGCCAAATGGGCCCAGCAGCCCCACTCACTGCTCTTCACTGCCATTTCCCAAAGCGTGGGTACCAACCCCAGCCACCTCCTCACAACCTGTTTGCCTCACCTGAAATGCTTTCTCTTTCCTTCCCTGATTTTGCCTACTTCCTAATTACATTGAGATCCAGCTCAAACCCCCAACTTCTCTAGCAGCATTCCATGACTAATTTAACTGAAGTGGACCATCCCCACTTCTTCTCAGTGTATTACCTACCCTTCTTTTCCAAGACTTTTTTTTTAAAATGTATTTTATTGATTTTTTACAGGGAGGAAGGGATAGGGATAGAGAGTTAGAAACATCGATGAAAGCAGAACATCCATCAGCTGCCTTCTGCACAACCCCCTACTGGGGATGTGCCCACAACCAAGGTACATGCCCTTGACGGGAATTGAACCTAGGACCTTTCAGTCCACTGGCCGACGCTCTATCCACAGAGCCAAACGGTTAGGGCTTTAGAGACTTTTTTATATCGCTTGTGCGTATTCATTTTATCTTTTCAATTAGATTGTCAGCTCCATGTGGGTGAGTACTGTGCCGAATTTCTTACTGCTGTATTCCTTACAGCACCTGCCACAGCACGTGAAATGCATCCTTAATTCACCAGTTAGTTCACTGTCACCAGTAGCATCAGGTAAAAACTGCACAAACGTCTCTCCTAAAGCATCCCCAGCCGCCCAGAAAGTTCTATCACATTAGTTTGGGAACGATGTCCTGGTGATTTCCTGGCACTGTGCTTCCTGGATCTCTTCACATTTTGGAAAGAACGGCTTGCTTGCGTCCACTCAACTATTCAACAGAAACGTTGCCTTTGAGCCACGAACTTGTAGCAAAGAAAACCTCCCTTCAAGGAGGCTTTAAAACCGAACAGGCTCCTCAGTAGCACCTGCAGTGGGTCGAATGGTCACCCCCATTGGAAATTGAAAAAGATAGGTCTATCCACCTGGAACTGTGATGTGATCTTCTTTGGGAAAAGGTTCTTACAATTAAGCTAAAGAACTCAACATGAGATCATCCTGGATTGGGCCTTAAACCCGATGACCAGTGTCCTTATAAGAAGAGAGGGGACACAGACAGAATTGGAGAAGACACAGAGAAGAAGGTGATGTGGAGGCAGAGGGTGGAATCATGTGGCCACAAACCAAGGAGCGCCCGGAACCACCAGAAAGTAAGGAGGCAGGATAGGGACCCTCCCTGGAGCCTTCATAGGAGTCCTGCTGACATCTTAATTTCAAGTTTCTGGTCTCCTGAACTGTGAGGAAACTGATGTAGGTGGTTTTAGGCTACCAACGGTGGAGTGTTTTATTATAGCAGCCAACAAGGATGTAGTTGGAGAAAGGGCGATGGGGTCCGGGGAGGGGAGGCTTTGGCCCTAGCTTTCAGAGACACCAACTTCAGCATTCATCAAGAGAGAGGAAGGGGCCTTAATTGGTTTGGCTCAGTGGATAGAGTGTCGGCCTGTAGACTGAAAGGTCCCAGGTTCGATCCCAGTCGAGGGCATGTACCTTGGTTGCAGGCACATCCCTAATAGGAGGTGTGCAGTAGGCAGCTGATCAATGTTTCTAACTCTCTATCCCTCTCCCTTCCTCTCTATAAAAAGTCAATAAAATATATTTAAAAAAAAAAAAGAGAGAGAGAAAGGGGACTTTCACAACCCCAGTTAGTTCTGCCATTGTATATTTTTCTAGAAAAGCTTCCATGAGATCCTTGTTTTCCCAGAGGCACTCACTATTCAGGCTTACTGCAGATACTTTCTCTTTGAACCTGCTTATCTAAGGTGGAGTGGAGTTACATTCCCATGAGGAAGGACCAGATAATCCTGAAATGTAGATCCTCAGAATGAATGGCCTTTCTCCAAGGTCCTAGGTAATTTGCTCCTTCCTCTGCTTAGCCAGCGTTCACTGAGCATCTACTGTGCTGACCAAATTGGTGAGTCTGGCTAATGACAAAGGAGGCCTGGTGGTCACCACTGATTCGTGGGGATGGAGGCATCTCTAGCTAAATATGACCAGCCTCGCTTTTCCAGTCTGGGCTTGAGGAACCCTTGTCAGAGTCCCTCTGTTCATTTGTCCACTGACTCTAATTTACACATAAGCCAACCCTTGCTATTTTCACCCGCCTGGTTAGTAAGAAATACATTTTTGCAAATGCTCCAAACACGGGCACACCCGGCAGCACTTTTTATATGATTGCTAGAAGCTTTTCACATCTTCTGCAACCCTCTTTCCACGCTTATTAACAGGAGGAGCCAGAAACATATCATCGTAGAGGTTGGGGACATGAGTCACTTCCTCTTATAAAACAGACACGGGCCATAGAAGAATGTCTTTCTTCCTTAGAGACACACAGTGAAGGACTTAGAGGTGAAATGTTACGATGACTACAAATTACTCCAAACCACTTCAGTAAAGAAAAAATAAACGAGGCAAAGGTGGCAAAATGTTAATCATTAAATCTGGGCGACAGGAATACAGGTGCTCACTACACAGCTCTTTCTGCTTTTCCATTTGTTTAAAGATTACCCCAAATAAAAATAGGATTTGTGTTTTTTTTACATATAGGGCTACTTTTACCCTGTGCTAATACTATGTGTGTCTCCGGTATGGAGACTAAGGGTCTCAGAAAAAGATGATATCTGTTTCAATGAGAAGTGCCCGAGAGAGGCTGCAGATCTGTGCGTGCACGCTCTGCTCTTGGGTTCTATTTATGGAAGGAACAGAAGACACATCTATTGAGAAAAAGCGGAGTACAAAAAAGAGCAGCGTTGGCATAGAAGCAGGAAAAAAAAAATGCCTCGCTGGGAAAGCACCGCATCAGAAAGACGTGTTTTTCTGGGAAGTCACAGTCAGCTGAGCATCGCTTTACACGGCTGGCAGGGCGATCTGTCTGAGCGCATCCAGGGCATGTGGCATTTATTCCTCTCAACAAGCATACCAGCCGGGAACTGACTCAGGTCCCATCCCCAACATCCCCGACACACCAACCCGGGCAGACACAGTGACCGGGGGACTCACAGTTCCGAGTACAGGAAGTGCAGGTGGCCCATATTGTCAATGTAGTTGGCAGGGCTGAGCCACGGCAGGACCAGCAACAGAAGCGCCTTCATTTTCCGGGCAGTGTGCTGCTTTCTTCCCCGGCCACCTTCTCTGCCGGCTGCAGGGGTCCGGCCCAGCCCAGCCCCTTTACACAGACCTTGCCATGTCCCCACAATCAGTAGACCATAGGAGTCTTAGAGCTCCTTAACCAAGCCCCGCTGATAAATAAATCATGGGCCTGTAAGAAGATTGCACCCTCTGGTTCTCAGACGGGGAAACAGGAGAACGAAGGGTCCCACCATGGTGGCGAGAGGGCTTAGACTGAGAGCGAGCAGGCGGATGCCCGGGAAGGGAACCTGCCCCTCCTGCAGGATGCCGACTGGCTCTTGAGGAGCAGCTGGTACATTTACATCACTGGCAGGGAGCAGATGGGCTGGAAGCTGAACGGTGCTGGGAGAGGGCAGAGGCATGGCATGCTCAGGCCCACGGCATGAATGAGCAAACAACCAAGGCTGCCCGCCAGCTTGCAGAGGAGGACACTAGGAGTGAGCCACTTGGGAACAGCAGCTGGGGGTCTGAGCTCACAGTGAGCCTGCAGATACTGCGATGCACAAGTATGATATACGAACCCACTCCGCCTCTGAATGTATATTTAGAACATGCATTGAAGGTATGTTACCTCCCCCTGCCCTGACTGCTCTGACAGACATGAGAGAAGGGGTGACTTCCTTACTAATTAAAAAAAAAAAAAAACACATTTAAAAAAATTTTTTACAGAGAGTAAGGGGGAGGGATAGAGAGTTGGTAACATCGATGAGAGAGAAACATCGATCAGCTGCCTCTTGCACACCCCTACTGGGGACGTGCCAGCAACCAAGGTACATGCCCTTGACCGGAATCGAACCTGGAACCCTTGAGTCTGCAGGCTGACGTTCTATCACTTAGCCAAACTGGTTAGGGCTTCCTTGCTAACTTTTGAAAATTATTCTTTTTGAGGAAAACCAAGAGCTTTGATAGATATGAAGTTCTGTCCAAACAATGTTCAGGCTTCTGTTCTGTGATGAAAACAGCCCTCCACTCCCCCCTCTCTGCTGAGTGACTGAAATAAGCTCTGGCACTAGCCGTAGGACCCAGGCATTTCAGTTAAGCTCCTGAGCCTCAGCCATCCCATCTTTGAAATGGAACTAATAATGCCGCACTTGCTTGGTCCAGATAATCCCTTCTAGCTTTCAGATCTGTGATTCCAGACTATACTATCACCTTGACAGTAGGACATCTCAGCAGGCCTAAGCACTGGAATGCCACAGAAGCCTGAGGAGTCCTCTCCTTCAACTTCATAGTCAAGAAGATTAAAAATCCATTTTACCAACTCCGGGCCTGAATCTTAATAGAAGTGGCTCAAAGAGATAATTTCATTAATGACAACCAAGCAATCACAGCAAACTACACTTGCTGGTGAGACCAGAGAATAATCGATGGGATAAGACCAACTGCAACAAACCGTGTAGGAAGTAGGAATTTGGCATCGGCGATCTGCATTTTCTTGAGGGGGGCCTAAAATAGATTAAATACAGTGGGCTCTTAGAATGTGCAGATTTAATTTCTATAGTTTAAATCCAAGATAAGCAACCTTGATAAAGCATGACATGAATTAATGTTGTTGAGGCACTACTTTGAATTCCATTCCCTTTAAGTCTGGTATGCAAGAGTGAGTCAGAGCTGGTGAGGAGCAGCAAAAAGGAACTAAGTTTTGGTATTTAGATGCTGGAGCCAAACAGGCTTGAGTTTGAACCTGAACTCTCCCACATACTAGCTGTGTGACACTGAGCATGTTGTTTAACCTCTATAAACTTCCATTTCCTCCATGGTGAATGAAAGACAATAATAATAGGGCTTTATTCAATGTATGGTTATGAAGGTAGAATTAGATAATGCCTATGAAGAACAAAGGGCTCAATGAGTGTTAGCTATTGTTATAAATATTGTAATAATAATTACTAATGATAGTAGATGAGCCTAGCTGGCAGCTCAGCACCTATCTCCAAAAGGCTTTGTTATTCTCGTCTGTCCTTTCTTTCCTCCTGTACATGAGGAACATGACATCATAGTCCTGAGACATGCTCTACTGCATAGCTCATAACCCAGAAGCAGCATTGTATTTAAGAAAGCATGTGTGTTTCGGAGTATATTGGATTGCATTTCCGATCAACTTGAACATGTCAGGTTGCCTCCCCACAAAAATAAGAATTTTTTGTGAAAAAAAATAAGAATTTAGTCTTTGCATTTCAAGAGGATAAAATTCACTAATGGATATGAATGCAATATAACTGAAGTTATTGGTTTTCATTGTTATTACGTCACTGTTGTAAAAACTGCCATTTGCCTATCCAATATCTAATCTCTTCTTTTTCCTTTAAAAAAATATATTTTATTGATTTTTTTTTTTTTTTTTTTACAGAGAGGAAGGGAGAGGGATAGAGAGTTAGAAACATGGATGAGAGAGAAATATTGATCAGCTGCCTCCTGCACACTTCCAACTGGGGATGTGTCTGCAACCAAGGCATATGCACCTGACCAGAATCGAACCTGGGACCTTTCAGTCCACAGGCCTATGCTCTATTCACGGAGCCAAACTGATCAGGGCATCCTCTTCTTCCTTTAACAGAACCCAAGTTTTGTTCATGGTGATAATGCACATAACATTTCTCACAGATGGGTAGCCATGTAATACAATATTGGCCAATGAGGTATAAGCAGAATTAACTGGATGAAGCATCCAAGAATTTCTTTAAGGAATGGTGTCTCAGTCTGTACATTGTATTTTCCCCTTCCTGTTTTGTTTTTCCTACCTGGTTCTTTCTACCTGGAACTTGGATGTGATGCTGGAGTCTGAGCAGCCATATTGAGAGCATGAGGTGGCAAACTCAAGAATGAAAGCTAATCTGAAAAGCAGCAGGACACTAGATTTCTGATGGCACCATGACAACATCATAGACTTCCTACCCCCAGAATTTGTGGTAAGTCAAAAAAAGAAAAATTTTAATAGTGAAAGCAATATAACTTGAATTTTCATTACCTGCCATCAGATGTAATCCTAACTAATACAATCCCTTGGGAATGAAAATTCCACCTTTAAATAGTCACGAATTTCTCTATGGCTTACTTCTCAGTAAACAGTTCTAACCCTAATCCTTGACTATCTACATCCTATTTATCCTTTAAATGTCATCTCAGGTATTAACTACCACCTCCTATTTTTTGGTCTCTTTTATCTTCATTAATCAGGGAAATCCTTGAAGAAGGAGTTCTACTGATCATGTTCTTCATCATATCCTCACCATAGTACCTGGAACGCAGTAGACACTCAATAAATATTTGTAAAAACAAAAAGAATTTGGCTCAGAGTCAACCTTTTTGGATTAGCTTTCTTGATCATAGACAAGTTAACAAAACAGGACTTCAAACTTATAAGAGCCATGGTAGGGGGAAAGCATTATACAGATGGATAATAAATGTCCAGGAAAAATAAAGGTAAGGAAGATTTCTGGGTATGAGTACCCAGGAGAATGTTATTTATTTAAATAATTTTTTTGAGCACAGTCTGATGGAGTTTCAATGGTTCTGTCAAAAGTAATGCAGAAAAACTGTCTCATTTCTTCCATGCCCACGAAGGTCAAATTAGTGGCTCTCAGCTGGGTAAGGCCAGGAAAATGTTAGGTTCATGGCAGGAAAGTTACATGAAGGATATATGTCAAGGTTACAGGGAGATGTTGAGCCAGGCAGTAATGACCAACCAGACTTGTAACTTACCTACCTCCCCTAGGGTAACAATCCCCCAGACCTCAGCCCAGCAGCAAAATCTTCCCTGCACTGTACACAGCTAGCTGAGCTTGTGTTGGACTGAACACACACACAAAAAAGGGCCTCTGATAGAAGTAAAGGTCAATAGAGGTTCCAGGGTAGGTCTTTGGAGGAGAAACCTCCAGGACACTGGGCACAAAGTCAATCAACAAATAACACCAGAGAACCTTCAGTAAAGTGTGCCAATTGTATTGGATTTTCAATCAGGGCTGATTTCAAAACAGTGAACAAAGATCTCTTTATTCATGCTAGTAAATACTTAAGAACGAACAGCTTTATTATCTCCCATTTCTATTAGGAGCCTAATATGCAAATTGTCCCCTCAGGTGGTTATTCAATTGGGAGTTTGACTAGGAGACTGGGAGTTTGACCGCTCACTATGATGTGCGCTGACCACCAGGGGGTGGCATGGAACATGGTGGGTGTTGACAATGTGGCAGTGGCAGTGGGCAACAATAGAGGCACTGTTGGCCCTGATGGGCCTGATAAGAGTGGGATGGTGGAGCAAGTGAGCAGGTAGTGCCAGGCAAGGCGAGTGCGAGTGAGGGATGGGGTTGGAGAGGTTGGAGGGGTTGGAGGATCCAATTGCTGCACAGACAGGGACCAGTGGTGTTGGCAGGGAGTGGGGCCACCTCCTGGCTCCCAGGCACTGAGGGAGCCAGGCAGTCCTCAGCCCCGACCAATCTCATCCTGCAGGTGGGATGGTGAAGCAGGTAAGGGGACATCACCAGGCCACAGCATGGGCTGTGGGGTTGCAGGTTGCGAAGCTGGGGGCACGAGCTGAAGCCTGGTCCCTCTAGGCCACCCCAAGAGATCCCACCCATGCACGAATTTGTGCACCAGGCCTCTAATCTTCCATAAGAACGAAACCAAAGGGCAAATGACTTGTCCTATGGAACAATTCAGTGTGGGTGTGCTTTCAACTTCTCTTTTACCTTTAAAATGTCACTTCCTCAGAGGCAGATATCATGGCTCTTATAGATTGTTCTTCTTCCAGAGCCTGGCCTATTGTGGATCTTGATAAATATTACAGACGCAGATGATGATATTACACAATAAAGTTGTCGTCTTGAGCCTAAGATCACTCCCACTCACAATTAAGGAAGTGAAAGCTTTGCCTCCTCCATACACCCCCTGATGGTCTGGGCCAAGAGGAATGCACTGAACTGGTCCTCTGTGGCGCCCTGGCTATGTCTGCTGCCAATGCCCTTCGGTTAGGAAGGCTGCCATTTGATTCGCCAAGCCCATCAGCCTCGTGGGAATTCTTTGCAGAAGACCCGTGTGAGGGTGCCAATAGAATTAGCCAGAGGGCAGAATCCAATAGAATCAGCCAGAGGATTTCAAACATTAGTTCACATGCTCAGGTTTACTCCCATGGAAGAGCTCTCTAGTCTGAAGTCAGAAATAGTTGACCAAGGAGCTATTGATTCAGCAGGCCATGCATACCCACAGCCAGTCCTAAATGTTTTCTTTAAAAGTTTATATGCAACTAAGGATCTGAAGTGCTTAGATAACAATGTTTACAAATGACACAAATTCTGGGGAAGACAGGCAGCATTTGTTTACAGATGAGATGCCATCTGCCTGCATCCCTGACTTAAGTGGGCAGCTATTATTAGCACGATCCTATGGACAGGCCATAAACCGAGACCTTGGCTGATGGAGAAAACATTTCTCTCTACCGGATGGTCTTTTCCAGAGAATGAAACCATTCCTGATGTGGTTATTTCTGCAAGATCTTATCATGAAGGAGCTGATTCTCATTTTACAGGTAGACAAACCTAAGTATGGAGTTTTCCGTGGCGCTCAGGACTGAGCTCTCCTGGACACACTGGGAGGGAGGGTGTGGGTTCCTCTGAGTCGCACGGTGGTTTTAAACCAGAATTAATGCTGAGTTCTCCACAGTAGGTAGATTCTGCCTGCAAAGTTTACATTCCTATAGTGCCACAGGCCAAAGAATATTTAAAAAAAAAACAAAACTCATTACATCTAAATCCTGAAACCAAGATGCAAAACTGATAAACAAAGCTATCTTCTAGGACAAACCTATGACAACACCCCCCTGCAGGCAGCCACCAACCTGGAGGCCTCCCACAGAAATGTAAGGAAACACTTGCCTCTTCATTTTCCCAGTTCAAGGATAACTATTTAATCTTAATGTCCCTTCTCAGAGGAGAAAGAGGCGGTCTACTGGCTCTGGCCCAGGCCCAAGGCCCAAGGGGGCTCTGGACTCAGGGTCTGGATTAGCTCCAAATCCTTCATCCTTGCCAACAAAATGCCCAGGGGCTGGCAGGAGAGGAAGTGTATATTAAGCATTTGATGACTAACAGGCACCATATTTTTGGACACGTTGGTTTCAACCTACTTAGGAAGTTGAAGTGTGGAGAGGATCCAGAGCGCGTGCTGAGGCCCCGCGCCTCCTCCCGTGCGAGTTTTCCCTCCAGAGAGCTGCTGACAGGCACCTGTGAAGGGCTCCAAGGCCACAGCTCATAGAAGTGATTTTAATTAGTTTTGCACTTTCCCCCTCACTCTTGTGCATGCCATTCTCAGCTGAGGGTTCATTAAGCTTTTATCCCAGGGTTCCTTGAGGTGCGGGCCACACAACCTGCATGGGCGGTGAATGAATTTCCCACTTGGAACAGCTAGGTGGGCTTGTGGCATCTCCCTCCTGGAACCCCTCCTCCCCCTGCCCCCAAGTCCTCAACATCCTCTTCCCAGTCCTCCCTCTGCCCCACTTCTGCCCTGGCCTTGCCCTTTGGTCCATGTGCCATCTTATCTCGATTTTTTAAAAAGGATATTCTGGGCCCCAAATCAGTCCTAGGTGAGGGACCTGCTGGGTTTTCACTTTCTCTCCAGAGAGCAAGCACTTCCATGGATTTCCTTCTCCCTCTTTCCTCTTTCCCCCTTTTCCTGGAAAACTCCTGTGGTGGGCAAAATAATGAGCACCCCAAGATATCCACCTCCTAATCCTCAAAACCTGTGAATCTGTTACCTTACAGGGCCAAAGGGATTTGCAGGTGTGGCCAAGGTGAGGCTCTTGAGATGAGGAGAGGATCCTGGATTATCCAGGTGGATGCAATGAGTGCCCTCATGAGAGGGAGGCAGTCGGGTCAGAGTCACAGAAGGAGATGTGATGAGAGAGAGAGAGAGAGAGAGAGAGAGAGAGAGAGAGAGAGAGAGAGAGAGAGAGAGAGAAAGAGAGAGAGAGAGAGATTCTATGCTGCTGGCCTTGAAGATAGAGAAAGAGGCCACAAGCCAAGGAAGGCAGATGGCCTCCAGAACCTAGAAAAGGCAGGTAAAGCAATTCTCTCCATTCAGCCCTCTCAACACCTTGATGTTAGAACCTTGAGACCCAGGTTGGACTTAGAACCCTCAGAACTGTAAGATAACACATTTTTGTGCTTTTAAGCCATGACGTTTGTGATTAATTGTTACAGCAGCAAATGGAAGCCCAAACACAAATGTGCAAATTGCAACAACCCAGGAACATAGGAATGTGATGTGTGGAGGGAGCTGGACCAGGGCCTTCTCCTCAGTTCCAGTCTTGGCCCCGGTTCTATACCAGCATCTGAAGCTCTTAGGTCACCTCTGACCCAAGGCCTATTTCCCTCCAGACAATACCTCCCCTACCTGGGTAAGACTTTTAGCAAAGGTCACAAATAGATTCCCTATCTCCTTCTCCTCTGGCCATACCTCCTTCCAGTCAATCAGAGAAGTGGAGCACCCTAGCTTAAATACCAACAATAACATAGGGTCAGAGGCAACCCAGGCACCTGAGTTTGATGCATTTGGTTCTACATGGTGGGGGAGAAAAATGAGTTCACCGACATAACTGGTATGGAACCATGTGGGAAGCATCCCACCCAGGCCATTGCTTTGGAGGCAAACTTCATGTTAGAGAATCGGCAGGTCCCCAAAGACAAAGACAGATTCATGACCTAAGGAATGTGACCTTTAGAAAAAATATCTGCTCACCTGCCTCTGGTCATGACAGAAACCAAGATATACACCAGTTTCCAAATTTCCTCTTACAAAAGAATTGTGGGGTTTGCTGTTTACACTTTGCTAAACACCTTAACTGTCCTAAGAGAGGACCTCATGTGGAACAAGAGCCAGGGCCGCCCTGAGGAACGCCCAGAACATGAGAATGCAGGCGGGCAAAATCAGAGGCGGGCAGGTGGTGCTGGCGACTGTGCCCACCAGCAGGGCCGGCCACACCCTCGGTCTGCTGCCAGTGTGTGCCCTTGGCTAGAAAGTTCATAGACCAATTGCCTTAAAGGACAAACATTTTCTAAATTTCTCATTTTAATCCTTAGTTGAAAATATCTTATATATCTTCAAAGAACAGCCGGGCTTTGCCAATTCCCATACAGAAAAAGTTCTAATAATTGTGGGTCACGTTAGGAGACTTTTTTTTTTTTCTTACATGAAAAGACAAGCAATACCTGCCTGGAAATCTTATTGGGGACCATGCACCTCAGAGAAAGCTGCTCCCCGATCTTTCCGGTATCTTTCGCATTTCAAAATGCACGCCTATGAAATGAGCCAGCCGCAAGAAGGCAAACACCAAATGATTCCTCTTTTCTAGTTTCCTAGAATAGTCAAGTTCATACAGACAGAAAGTCGAATCACGATACCAATTCTGGAGGGGGGGCAGGGGGTGTTTGTTGAACGGAAACCAAGTGTTAGTTCTGGAAGATGAAAAATGTTCTGAGGATGGGTGATGGCGAGGGATGATGCACAACAATGTGAGTGCACTGAAGGCCACTGAACTGTACACTTAAAAATCACTAAAATGGTAACTTATATGTTATGTCTATTTTAGCACCAAAAAAAAAAAGGAAAAGGAAATGCCATGTAAACACATATATAACACAACTTGACCATATGCCATTTCCTTACGTTGAACCCTGACCATAACACCTACCATGTTACTTATTTTGAATGAGTCCTTTCATTGGTTGCAAAAAAGAAGACAAACTAAGCTTTTCACTGAGCGACCAGGACCTGGGAGACAGCTCCGCCCTCAGGAACTGGTGAGTTCCAGCTGGCCCTGGAGGGCGGGGCTTCTCAGGATCTGCCCAGGAAGAGGCCCTACCTGGTTTGGAAGTGATGCTCCAGATCACAGCGCTGCAACACCTCCGTGCAGTGCTCTGCGAACGGGCAGGTCACCGTGAGCTTGTTGAGCAGCTTGTGGACCAGGATGCTGGACTTCTTGCAGTGCTGGAGGACCAGGGGCTTGCGGTCCAGGGGGCAGAAGTCCTGACTCACCAGGAAGTTGGTGAGGCAGAGAGTGCAGTAGGTGTGTCCACAGGGAGTGTCCAGAGGGTCCAGCAAAGCTTGCAGGCAGATGTGGCATATGAGGTCATCGTCCACATCGTCTGTGTAGGTGTAGAAGTGATTTTCCTCGGGGGAGTGGGCTTGGCCACACACCACACATAGGGGCTCAGGGCTGGGATCTGGGTCATCGGCAGAGTCTGACTGGCTCATGGTTGACTGCGGGGACAGGATGACAGGAAACCAATCCAGCAAAACGATATTTCCTCGGGAGCCAATTAAGACCTTCTAGGGGCCATCCACAAACCTAAAAGGGAACAAGAGGACATCTTTGTTTTCAATGCAAATGGAAGGCCCTGTGCTACAGACAGGAAGCCATGCTGCCTGTAGACAGAGAACCGGCCTCTGATGCAGAAGGCCAGTGATGCGTGACTGTGGGGAAACCACTTTGCCTCAGTTTCACCATCTTTCCAGAGGGAATAATGTTTACCTTTAACCTTTTCATGGTTAAAATCATTTGGGTACTATCTGCATAGGCAATACTGCATGGTATGTAAAAAGTGCTCAATAAATATTCATTAGTATTCTTGCATGTATTGCTATCGAATTCATTCTGTCTACAGTCTAGCTCAATTGGCCTAGAAACTGAAATCTATCACTCCTATAAGGGGTATTTTGGCTTTGTTCTAATAGTATATCCCAGTAGAATACTATCATATTATGTCTTTTCCTTTGGTATAGGAATCTAAAATAATGGAGTTATCAATGTACCTATTAAAATCTATGAATTCTCTTGGAAATTCAGTCAATAAATATTAATTTTTTATTTTTATTTATTAATTTTAGAGATTGAGAAAGTGGGGAGAGAGAGAGGGAGGGGGAGAGAGGGAAAAAAGGAGAGAGGGAAAGGAAGAGAAGGGGGGAGGGAGAGAGAGAGAGAGAGAGAGAGAGAGAGAAGCATTAATTTGTTGTTCCCCTTATTTATGCATTCATTGGTTGATTCTTGTATGTGCCCTGACAGGGAATGGAACCTACAGCCTTGGCATATCAGGACAATGCTCTAACCAGGAGAACTACCTGGCCAGGGCAATAAATAATATTTCTGGTACCACCTCTGACCTAGGGAGTGAGTTGGGCATAGAGACCTCGCAGAGATCTTTAAAGGCTATGTCCCTGCTCTCATGGAGTCTCCAGTCCAGGGGAGTGGGAATGAGCACAACTCGTTAGCAGCCTAGGTAAGTGGTGCAAGCAGAGGTATGTGCCAGAGAAACTGGGTCAGCTCTCAAGACGATTAGGAATCCCACACCCACACTACCCCCAACTCAACTTTGTTCTTCTCTGAAAGTAAATGAAAAGACTTAAAGGGTTTCACAAGAACATCAAGACACACGAATAACCCAACAGGAAATTAGCCACGTTTGGAAATAGCATGCAGTCATAAATTGTGTTATATCTTTTTTCTTATCCAAATAAAGTCCAAGGCTGTTTGTATAAACATCGAGTTATCTCAAAAAGAAAATATACTGACTTCAAACTTCCATTGGGTCAGCTTCATGTTTATATTTCTATGCTGTGCTAATATGCCAGGAAGAACACTCTGATCAGGAGGTTGAAGTAAAACACCCCAGAATGTGAAAACATTTATGAGTCACAGCATTTTCTTTAGCATCAGAAGGGACTACAGAAGGCTAAGGTAGAGGGTGCAGGAGAAAATAAAGTTGTTTCTACTCAAATTTTACGGAAATCTACCCAATTGCAATTTGTCATCAAGGCTGCTACTGTGTTTCCATGAAAATAAGACATCCTCCAAAAATAAGACCTAGAGCATGGAAAGATAAGACATCCCCTGAAAATAAAACCTAGCACAATTTGGGGAGAAAAAATTAATATAAGACACTGTCTTATTTTCAGGGAAACTGGGTAGAAGGTTCTAGAACCACACAGGGGAAAATTTAAATGGCATGAGAAACAGTTGAAAGATAAACATAAAAATGGAAATGGGCCACCCAAAAGGTTATCCTCTACCACAGAAAAAATAAGGTTCAAGCCGAAACCGGTTTGGCTCAGTGGTGGAGCATCGGTCTGCGGACTGAAGGGTCCTGGGTTCGATTCCGGTCAGGGGCATGTACGTTGGTTGCGGGCGTGTCCCCGGTGTGGGGTGTGCAAGAGGTAGCTGGTCGATGTTTCTCTCTCATTGACGTTTCTAGCTCTCTATCTCTCTCCCTTCCTCTCTGTAACAAATGAATAAAATATATTTAAAAAAAAATAAGGTTCACATATTTTGAACTAAAGCTCTAGAGTATGACATGCTTGCTCTAGATCTTCTAAAAGTTTCTCTGTAAAAATTTGGTCAATTACTCTCTCACATGTTTTGGCCTGTCTATTCTCTTCCATGGTCTGCACCAGAAAACAACAGGAATGTGACTCTGGTTGTATCACTGACAAGACAACCTCACATTCCGGGCCATTCCCTCTTTGGTGAAATGGTGGAGCTGGCAGGTTTTTGGATTTCACACTCTGCTCTGGGAGGTGTCAGATGCCTTAGCGCCGTGGTTGGCAAACTGCGGCTTGAGAGCCACATGCGGCTCTTTGGCCCCTTGAGTGTGGCTTTTCCACAAAATACCACAGCTTGGGTGAGTCTATTTTGAAGAAGTGGCATTAGAAGAAATTTAAATTTTAAAAATTTGGCTCTCAAAAGAAATTTCAATAATTGTACTGTTGATAGTTGGCTCTGTTGACTAACGAGTTTGCCGACCACTGCCTTAGCGTCTTCTAGTAAAGGAGGGATGAAGAAGGAGCTGTGGCTGCTTCGCCCCGCCCAGTCTCAGCTCCACTTGATTGCTTTGACCCATCAGCTTATAATATTCTGTTTGAAGAACACTGGTTTAAAAACAAACGAACAAACAAACAAATAAACAACCACTGGACTAGGTACTTAAGGTCCCTTCCAGAAATAGATTTCACGATTCTATGCTGATAAATTGGAGGTGTTTTATATTGTTTTAAGTGATTAGCTCTTTGGGAAAATCCTCCCCACCCTCTTGGTTTTCTTGCAGTTTTTTGTGCCTGACTATGTGCCAGGCACTGTGCTACGGGCCTGACATATTATGCTATGTAATCCTCACAATCCCCAGGATCTTTTGTTTGCTTTTTATTTAATAGATGAGGAAATGGAAGAGTAATATGTAAGTAAGTTGCTAGCCACACAAAAAGAGAAACAAGACCCAGAAAGGACTGCTAGCTTCAGTATCTGCATCAATTTTGCTGCTTGTCTTCCATCATCTTTCCTGATTATATGACCAGTCAGAATCCCAATTACATAACTAACCAAATACAAGAGCCGTGGGAAATGAGAAGTGTTAAAATCTCATTATGTCCCCTTGCAAATAGCTTGATTTCTCCAAGCTCTCTGAATCAAAAGTGTACTTGACTTTATTGAGGCCTAAAATGCTTGAGATAGAATTAATGGTATGGGGCAAGCAAAAATGGAAGGTTTTAGACCCAACTCCAACCAACCTTTCTTCCTTCCCTTCCTTCCTCCCTCTCTCCCACCTCTTTTTTTCTCCCTTTCCCTCTTTCTCTCCCTCTCCCTCTCCCTCTGAGAGCAATTTGAATTCCCTGGCACTTAAGTATGTGCATAAACCAGATTCTTCATATACTATTAATGTAAACACTGCTGTATATATTTTCTAACTTTGCTTTAGACTAAATAAAGCCAATAAGAATAAACACAGATTATGAGAGAACTGACTGAACAAGCAGTTTTGGCTCTAAAGAAAGAACTAGTGAGACTTTAAAAAACATTTTAAGGACATTTACCTGACATCTCTTATTTCCAGTTTACGTGTTATAAACATGTAAGATCTATCATGCTTTTAAACATAGATGTGCCTCACTGCTGGACTGAGAAGAAATGATAAAAAATCATTAAGTCTTAAACAGAAAACTATTTTCTTCCCCAAAAATGAACGAGAGGAACTGTCAGCTTTGGGCTCCTTTATGTGTCAGCCATCAGCAGAGGGAGAGAAAGCTGTGATCAAGCTTTTTTTCTTTTTCTCTGTCTTTCTTTTCCTCCCTCCCTCCCTCCCTCCCTTCCTTCCTCTCCCTCCCTTCTCCTTCTCTCTCTCTCTCTCTCTCTCTCTCTCTTCTCTCTCTCTCTCTCTCTCTCTCTCTTTCTTTCTAGTTGAAGAAAGAGCATAGAAGTGGATTCCCTCCTTGGGAGTGAATATGGGGGTTGGGAGAAGTACAACCTACTGTGGCTTAGGAACCATTTTTTTTTTCTCCTCCACCTCTGATTTGGGGTAGACTAGAAGCCTGAGGTTTTTAGAGATGTGTGGCTCAGTGGTTGAACCAGGAGGACAGGGTTCGATTCCTGATCAGGGCACAGGCCTGGGTTGCAGGCCCCATCCCCAGTAAGGGGCATGTAAGAGGCAACTGATCAGTGATTCTCTGTCATCATTGATGTTTCTTTCTATCTTTCTATACCTCTCTCTGCCTCTTTTAAATAAGTAAAAATATATATTTTAAAATCCGATGGAAAAATAAAACAGCCTTTGGAGTACAGCCTGTTTGGAGGCAGAAATTTATTTTTTTCAGAGATGAGATCCCAGAACAATGGAGTCCCTGGTGTGCTATGGTCCCTCTAACTCTCCTTTAAATCCTCACTGGCATTACAGACAATGGTTATCTGATGAAGACACTGGAGTAAAACAGATACTCACTAGAAAGGCTATGGAGAAACTTATCATTTGGCATGCTGCACTGACAATTTCCCATTTCCTCCTACTAAAAGGACAAAACGTAACTCTATAGCATCCTTTCAAATAGCTGCATGAGTCATGGTTTTCCAAAAATACTAATGGGACATCATATGAAAAAGAATTCATCCTAAACAACCCAAGTGCCCATCAATAGACAAGTGGAAAAACAAACAAACAAACTGTGGTATGTATATACAATGGAATATTACTTTGGAAATAAAAAAGAATGAAATCTTACCCTTTGTGATAGTATGGATGGACCTAGTATGTATTACGCTAAGTGAAATAAATCAGAGAAAGACAAATACCATATTATTTTACTTACATGGAATCTAAAGAACAAAATAAATGAATAAACCAAAAAGAAACAGACTCATAAACACAGAAAACAGACCGATGGTCTGAGGGGAGGGGGTTGGGGGACTGGGACAAAGAGGTGAAGGGATTGACAAA